CTACCCTCTGACTGATGAAACTACGTCGACTGCTCCTCGATATAGAGTAAGAATTTTGACAAGCTCGTGATTGGTTCTCAGAGGAAACTCTTGTCCTGTCAAATTAATGAAATATTTCCATTTAGGATACTTCCACAGATCCTCCATACAAGTGAGTTCTGGTTCAAGCACTGTGAATGTGCCCCAGTATACGGAGCTTCTCCTACTGGCCATGAATACATTAGGAAAACATTTTGCTATTGCAGATATAGCATTGAACGAGGAATTAGAAGCCTTCTGGTCCACATGGATGCAGTAAACGTTCTGTGGTCGGTAGATGGCACGTAAAAGTCGCTCCACCATTTCTGCATCTTTGTAGACAAGAATTGAATAAGCTATGGGAAACTGTTCTTCCTCATCCGTCAGTGACGACATTATATACCCACGTTGTTTATGAAAGTCGTCGCAGTCTTTTGTTAAATTTAAGTAAAATAGATCTGAAAGTGGAGGGCTGACTGTCCGTATCCTTTGTCTAGCTATAACAGTCTCGTTTTTGGAGCCTTTAAATATTGCTGCACAATCCATCCCAGGAACTTTGACTTGTGTTGAAATGTTACGCAAGAGCTCTTCGATGGTTGAATTTGTTTTTGACGTCTGGAAAAATGCGTTAAATACAGTCAGCTGTGATGGTAAATATATTTTGTTTGTCCACGGGCTCAGGAGAACGATGAAAACAATTATGCAGGTAACGATCAAACACAAGAACACTTTGAAATAACAGGATCGCGTCCATACTGCTCTGGATGCTTCGGACATTCTCCTATGTAATGATAATAATTAAACTGGAATTACAGAGTAGCGTAGACAATTTGGACAACACAAATATATAGTAATATACATCCTGTGACAATTTACAGTTGTGAGTCTTGGACTATCCCTCAGTCACTGAAAAAAGGCTGAAGCTTTTGAATTGAAATGATATAGAAAAATTCTTAGAAAACCATAGATCAAGAAAAAGGAAAAACATCGACATTCTAAACGAGTAGAACATCAGGGAGAACTGGCTTATAAAGAGCAACCTGTCCCGAAAGTTGAAGTATTTTAGCCACATCAAGCGTCATAATGTCTTGGAAACGACGGTGATGAAGGGTGCAGTTTGTGGAATGCGAGGCAGGGGTCGACCACCGCGAAGATGGATACAGGACATTGAAGATGCATTGGCATTGAAAGTACATGGGGCCAGAGAGCTGGCTATGGAAAGGGATACATTCAGGCGTACCGTAAAGAGAGCGACGTTCTGTAAAGGACTTGCCGATATATGAAAATACATTTGACAGCCTACAATAATATAATCAGCCCTACGAAAGAAAATACTGATCTGACAAAATGAAAGATTGAATGAATGGGACAATATGCTGAAAGAAACGGTCTCTCGCCAGTTCTCCTGCCTCATATACTTTCATACTCAAGGAGTCACTTATATCCTGTGCCCATCTTCGTGTTGGTCGGCCTCTGTCTCTCCTTCCTGGTACCATGCCTTCTGCTATAGTTTTTTCCAATCCGCTGTGGCGCTTGATATGATCAAAATATTTCAGCTTCCGAGAAAGGATGCTGTTTATTAGCCAATCTTCCTTGATGTTCAGATCTTTTAAGATGTCAATATTCCTCCTCTTCTTTGTCCAAGATATTCTGAGAATCTTTCTATAGCATTTCAGCTCAAAAGCCTCTATTCTCTTTCTTAAGGACTGAGAGATAGTCCACGACTCACACCTGTATGTAGCCACAGAGAAGATGCATGCTCTCAAAATTCGAATAATAAGTAAAAAGTAAAAAGCTCTGTTTTTTAATTAATTTTGTCTATATTATTACATCTGCTCGATTTGTCGTTGGTGTGTTCAATATATTTGTCTTTTCATAAAGTTTTTGTAATCCAAATCTTGATGCTAAAATAAAGAGGGGGAAATATTATTATAAGGCAAACTACAAACACAAATTTTTGATACAGTTGTACCTCGGTATGCGTTTACTTTAGCATACCTAAACTTGATATACGTCCTGTTTAGACGCGACAGTTTTTTTGCTTGGTATTCAAACACCCAGCTGTGGGACATGCACCTTGCGTTGGTTTCGACAGTGGTATCAGGGGACTGACCGTCCAGAGGCAATGGCAAACTACTAGACGTAAATTTGCCAAGAGAAACCACACAACAGCCATGGGCTGCTGAGGTTGGTTCTGCAACGTCCTGTAAAAAAAACACAAGTAACCTTTCCTGAAAACTTTAAAAAAAAGCATATATTTGAATAAAATTTCATGAACAATCAGATGCGTATTCCCCATTTTTTTTTTTTTTTTTTTTTCAAGTTTGGGAACGCATTATTCTTTTAGGGCAAAGACATTCTATACTCAAATTTTCTCAACGTGTCCCATTTAACACAGAGACAGCGTAATTTCTTCACCTGTTGGTCCACTGGAACGTGTTCAGTTTTCTCCCAAACCTTTGCAACAATGATTCAATCATTATTCCCTTTATTCTGCACTAGTTAATGAATGTTTGAAGTTTATGAGCAATTGTTTTTGTTTTTCTCAATGGTTCTGCTCTGTACAGCAGTACTGATTTGACATTATATTAATACATCTTAAGATTTGGATTAGTTTTCATTTCTTTGGACCTTAACAAATTTCGACAAGAATCTAAAGGGGATTAAGTGGATTAAGTATATATCCCGAATTATTGCTATATTATTCTACAGTACTCGGTGGAATCGCAGACACCTTACTGGTAAAACAGTGTTGTTGTGTTGATCGTCCATCCCGAGTGATGAAGACACATTTTCATCTAAAGTAGCAATGATCAATGATTATGAGTACAAAGGTGGCTGATTAGTCCAGTGAGATCCCAGAAAGTTCTTGAGCTGTGCGGACAACAGAAGGAAGCCGCAGTAAGTGTTGGATTAGCAATTGGATGAAAGTGACTTTACAAAAAGACTTGGATTTAAGTGAGGAAGTTAAAAATTAGTTAGTTGTGTATCCTTTACAGGACATTTCGGAAACTAACCCCAGCATTTTTGGATGTTGTGGTTTTTCTAGGCTAATTTGCGTCCAGTTGTTTACCATTGCTTTCTGGACGGTTAGCTTCCCGATACCACTGTCAAAACCAACGCAAGGCGCAAGGCCTGCTGCTGGGATCGAACTTGGCACCCCGGCATTACGAAGCGAGTTCGCTACAACTAAGCCACAGACACGAGTGAGGAAGAGTTGCGCCTGAAATAAGATATGTCTGGATTAGGTTTGTGACTCTGGCCAGCAAGTCCTCTAGTTATTGTCATGGCATATAAAGTTAATCACATGCATATATTATAGGGCTGTACCGAATGTTCGCTTCGTATTCGTTTCGGGGCCGAATAGTAGACCTAATAACTATTCGGTATTCGGCAGAATAGTTGCGGTCGGACCGAATACGAATAGTGGTTACCTTACACCCGTTTCTGGACTGGTGGAAAATGAACATATCAAAATTTCACACCTTGGTTCATACTGTTAAGCCTTATCTTTGTGAACCACCTACGAGCGTACCAAGTGAACGTCTCTTTAGTACAGCTGGAAATACCTTCAGTGAGACAAGAAGCTACCTGAATGCAGACAACATGGAACGATGTTTTTTTTTTTTTTTTGAAAGCTAATGCCGCTTTCATGGATTAACTAAGCTGTCAGTGACTATTTACAAGTTTATTTACTTGTTATAAAACTAAGAATACTTTCATTCCTATGTATAAGTTACCGCAGACTGACTGACTGAAGGATGCAAAACATGAAATGGTTTTAAATGTTTACTATTCTGTACTACATTTTGTAAAGTAAAATTTTAGAGTACATTTGACATTATGGATGTTTCTTTAAAGATACATTTTATACACTATGCGAAAGTGGAAGAATAGGCCTCAATTCGAATAGTGGGAAGACAGAAGTAATGGTGGTATCAAAAAAGATAATTATTCCAAAGTGTGTAATAAAAGTCGATGGTTTTATTTTGGGACAAGTACAGAAATTTAAGTATCTGGGCACATGGATAACATCAGATGGAAGATGCATTACTGAAAAAAGAAACAAAATAAGACAGGCAAATACTGCATTTTTCTAAAATGAAGAACGTCTTATGCAATATATCTTTGTCATTGGAGGTTAGAAAAAGAATTCTTGCTTGGTACATGCATCCAGTTTTAACATATGGCTGTGAGTCCTGGACAAACAATTTCTTGAGGTCTCAGAGATGTGGTTTTACAGAACAATGCTTAAAATACCCTGGACAGCGAACAAAAAAGCAAATAAGAGGTTTTAAAAGAGGCGAGACCCCAGGACAACTGCTCACAGACATCATTTTTCGGCCATGTTAGAAAATGAGGGAAAATGGAACATGTGGTGACCACTGGAAAGATCTTTGGAAGGAGGGATAGAGGAAGACAACGCGAGAAGACTCTTGAGATTTTTGTTGTATGGCAAAGAGGTGCGTCAGCACACGAACTGGGTCCCAGAACAGGACTAGAGAAGAAGAATATTATAAAAGTACAGTAAAGGGCCCTTTCCACCCCTTCAGCAGTATTTGGCGCATAGGGCTAGACCTGTATTTTATAAACCAATCAGCACTATGTGGGTGATGTGGTTAACATCACACGGGCCGCCTCTACTTTCCTACCTAGTATCCAATCAACGCTGAGGTCGACCAAGGTCACTTTTTTAAGGGGAAAAAATGTCCGGTTTTGTTGAGATCTGCACCTTAAGGTTTGAGGTTTAATCGTTTGATCAACGTATTGACATCATGGCACATGGACCCATAATTGCTCTGTTTTTCTACTAACTCAAGACTGAGTCCGAAGAAGCTCAGCACAGTGCACAGGCTCTGTAGTACTGGCAAGGATCCTGAAATACTTTGGGTAGATTGTTAACTCCAAATTTTGCCCAAGCAGCGCCGTTAGGCTACTCTATTCCATGTCCATCTGCCACGAAATTTTTTGCGTGCGCAACAATACACACGGGCGTCCGATCTCCTACCCAGAGACCAGGGGAATATACTAAAAGTCCAAGTCCACGTGAAAAAAGCCCAGCTCTTACAGGGTATCAAACCTGGAACCTCTAGCACTCGAGGCGGACACCATGCCTTGAAACCACGCAATCCCCCTGATCTGAACCTAAAACCCTTCCGATCCACAGACGGGCGTCTAGCGACTACATTATTGTGGCTCTGTGAATATTTCTTTCTCCAATATTTCACTTTTCAGTATTATCAGTAACAGGCAGCAAAGTAGCCGTTTTGTAGTAGCGACTAGGTGCTCTGTTGTCGGCATGAATGAATTTGGTTCAAATCAACGTTAATTAGGAAAAAATTTTTCCTTAAAAAATGACATTGTTGTCAGGCTGATTCAGGCTACAATGGGTATTATCATCATCGTCAAAACGTACCGTACCGATAAGCGCGGGCTGTCATGTTTCGCCATCTCAAATGGTCACTAGAATCCGGAAATATTTCAATGTGTTGTTGTTGCTGCTGTTGTTGCTGTTGTTGTTGTGCGTGTGTCGCACAATCGACAGGCCATTCCGAGATTTATCTGCCGCCTTCATCTAGATCTCTTTCTGTCTATCTTGCCAGTTGGTACCAAATTCTTGAGTCCATTCTTTGTAATAACATGTCCCTCCTTCATCACCCCCCCCCCCCCACACACACACACACACACACACACACGGTTAGAAAACAAAACAAAAGAGTGCTAAATTGCGATGTGGAACCTGCATGGGACAATAGGCAACAACAGAAAAACAATGG